TAAAATTTCAAAGTTGGTGAGCTACTTACTTTCTCCTTTATCAAGTTGAAAGCACTCCTCTGAGCTTCATCCCAAGTCCAGGCGCCTCCATTTGCAAAATAGCTTCAGCTTTGTCTGGATCGGGCTTGATGCCTCGATCTGAAACGCGGTAGCCTAGAAAAGCTAACTCCGTTTTCTTGAAGTTACATTTGTTCTTTGAGTTTGACTCCTCTTGATTTTAGTCTCTTTAGAACTTTCTCAAGGTTTTCATTGTGCGATTTTTCAGAATCACCATGGACAATTATATCGTCCATGAAAACGGCAACGCCTGGGATACCATCCAGAATATTTGACATCTCTCTCTGAAAAATTTCCGGAGCGATCGAAATTCCCTGAGGTAGCTTTCTGAAAACGTACCTACCGTATGGCGTGATAAAAGTTGTCAAGTATTGGCTCTCTTCAGACAAGGGCATCTGATAGAAGCCGCTGGTCGCATCTAATGAAGTAAATACTTTACTACCTGTTAACTTCTGCAGAATAGTGTCTACTGTAGGTAGCATATATCTTTCGCGACATATTGATTCATTTAGCCGTCTATAGTCGACTGTTATCCGGAGCTTACCTGACTTAGAAAGTACCGGAACCATTGGTGAACACCATTCTGTTGGTTCTCGCACTGGGGCAATGATTTCAAGTTTTTTCATTAGGTCAAGAGTTTCGCGTAATTTTTTCATCAATGGAAATGGTACGCGTCGTGGGACATTTATACTATATGGGGTAGCATCATCTTTGATTTTTATTTTTACTGGGGGACATTTCATATTGCCAACCTCACCATATAAATCTGGGTCATGGATAATCTTATCAATATCATTGTGACCTGACATTTGTGTACCCTGAGTAACCTTATCAATATCATGTATACTTTGAGTAACTTTGTTACTAAATATAGTACCTGGCTGAGCTCCGTCAGATACATTGAGATTTGACACTGTGTTACTGGGAGTGTGACTTTTTTCAGTATTGCCTTGGGCTTCATTGAACTGAATCAGATTCAAATTCTTTGACGAATTTCTGCTCAAAAGATTATCTGACTTTCGATCAACCACATACAGCCTCATAGAGAACCTTTTACCATTCATAGAGCTTTTAGCTATAAATGATCCCTTTGAAGACACACTACCTCCCACAGTCTTTATTATGCCGTTGAACTTGGTCAACTTTGGCCTTGGAGACAACCTCTCATATGAATCATTTGATATTACATTTATATCAGCCCCGGTGTCGATCTTGAAGCTTAACTTACGATCATGTATTGGAAGTTGAACACGCCAAGGAGGCTCATGACTTTGCATATGTGAATTATCAGATATTTCTCCAATGAAAAATTCAGAAGAATCATCATGCTCAGACTGATCTACATCGTAAGCTTCAACACTGACACCTTGAACATGGCTGCTTTTGCTTTTACACACTGAAGAAAAATGATTTTTCTTTTTGCACTTATTACAGATTTTGCCTTGTGCTGGGCAAGATTTTCCATCATAATGATTGTAGCCGCATCTGGAACATTTCTTTGATGATTTGTCATCATTGTTTGTTGACTGTTTCTGTTTGGACCTTGGCTTGGCTCTGCTCCTATGGCTGCCATAGCTGAGACGGTCTACATTATTTTCAGGAGTAGGTTTCTTGGATTGTCCCTTAATCAATTCATGAGAACGAACTATTTTAATTGTTCTTGAGAGAGTCAGGGGGTTATCCATCGCCAATGTCTGCAGTTTCTCCGAGAGAAATTCATCTTCGACATTCAGAATTATCCTATCCCTAATCACATTCACCTTGGGTATAAAGTAGTCATTAAATCGCTTCAAAACATTATCATATGTGCGTAAATCACCTTGAGGCTGTGCTGCTTCCGCACCCTCACCAGGCTCTACAGGTTCAGCAAATTGAAACGATTTGTAAATAATATTTGCTTGTGGCCCCATAGTGTATAAATTGAGCAATTTGTGTTACCTCATCCTCTTTGTGGAGTTTTGAAGCTTGGCGGAATGTTATGAATCTATCTCTCCAAGCTGGCCATTCTGCTGGTCTGTCGAACTTAAATTCTGAAGGTGGTGAAAACTTAGCCGTGATCACTAGAAATATTAACACTACAGTTGTACATAAATGTAGTATAGTCATATAGTCTACTTGCAATGCAATATATCACCGCTAAACTGTAAACTGTTTCCAAAATGTAAATCCAGTGATCCGCGAAGCATAAAATTCACTGTTCACTTCCTCTCCGCGAAGTTCTATCACGAGTAGTTCACATGTGACGTTGTACGACAGTTTTTGGGAATTTTCCGCTGGAATATCCGTGAATTCTCAGACTTGAGTCCCTAATTTCTTTTCCGTCAGTGCTTTTCAGCTTTTATCCTAAAGCCTACGAGATCTTGATAGATAGTTCTATCCTCTGACGACTGAATCCATTAATCTGACACCATGCGAACTGATCATTTGGTTCAATAACAATCAGACATAAAACTTTGGGTTCATTTGTAATGGCATTTATTCTCACTCTCTCTAACCCGGATGTACGTACTGGATGAAAGGTTTATCAAATAACAATCATGACAATCCCGGGGATTGTTCACACATTACATGTATATCATTACAGACATGTTTTCTTGTCAGTATTGTGAAAATTATTATAATTTATAAATTGTTATAGCTGCTTATTAAGCAATATTCGAATAGGTTGTGACGTTATTGGCCCCCACATGATCTCTCATTGGTCCCCATGTGGCCCATTTTGGTCCATTAAATCATGATGTCATGACACTAAGATGTTTTGTTATTTGTTTACACAACAATCATATGGTTGTCATGAGTGCCAAGGAACCAATAAATTAAAAATATATATTATGTATGACATTACTAATCACGTGGGATTAATTAATTTTATTACGTTATTTATGACCATTAACAGTTATCTTACATTTCTTTTATAATGGCTATCGTAAGAACCCTACGTTGGGCTTGCAAAAAAAGGGAAAATTTTTGACATAACAAATGTGTTTATCACAAATGCATTTCATTATTCACCAACTTTTAAAATGAAAAAAAGGTTAATACAGTCTAAATGGATATTTGAATGTGTACTAGTATTAGAACTGTAATTGATTTTGTATGAATGAAACAATAATATGAATCAATAAAAAAATCTCTATCAGCATGGCAATATCATTATTAAATATGATACTCATTGTAAGTCATCATCATAAGTTTGAACTATAATGTCAATACTGTTATTATTTATACATGTAGTGTTTGTAAATAAATCAATACTGCATGCAAAATATATTGCAATGACACTGACCAATACATTTTATACGGTTTACAAATAAATGAGTAAACTTGGGTAAACTCTTGGGTAATTTTTTTAGCGTTAAAATGTAATGAAAATGTAATGAAAATCCACATTCATAGCCAAGACATCTTAGCATTAAAATGTTTTACAAGCAAGTGTAAATCCATCGGTCTTAACTAAGAGCTCTTAGCCCAGTTTTATGTGTTCGGCTGAACAAAAAATTTTAAACTTCCTGTTTATTACATGTTTCAGATGGTCCTTTATCTTATCATCCCTTGTTCCCAATATCTACCCAAAAATATCGAGTAGAACTAGATCACTTGGCGTTCTTTCATAATCCTAATATATGCATAAAATCTTCTTGCTCTCTTTCATACTTTGAACAATGCTCTCTTCAGGAAATATTTTTGTTAAACCGATGCATTCTTTAGCACAAAGTATAGAAGCGTCCTTCAACCAGTACTGAACTGTCTTTTTCATTTTACATGTATACCTACATATCTCTAAGACGTTTTAGAAAACATGTGTTAAATCTCAATCAATAATCATATTTCGTAAGACATTTTGAAAAGGGTTGTTTAAACTCAACATAATTTTTCTAAAACGTTTTAGCCAAGACACCTTGGAATGCTGCGTGTTGTGTAAGTAGGGCTAATATGAGTTCAATATTCAGGACAAGTTGAACAGAATGTCGTGCTTTGTAATGCTAAATGAAACTATGTGTATACACTTCCAGAGTAGAACACTTTCTAGAGGTATTAAAGGTGTTCCACTTATAATTCAACGAGTAGAACACCTCTGTATATTTGAACAACATGTTTTGCATAATTCTGTTAGATACGATTAAGAATATATTGTTTTTCAATATTTTTCACAAGCATATTCAAATGATTTTTTCACTAATAATTCTGTTAGATACGATTAAGAACATATTGTTTTTCAATATTTTTCACAAGCATATTCAAATGATTTTTTCACTAATAATTCTGTTAGATACGATTAAGAATATATTGTTTTTCAATATTTTTCACAAGCATATTCAAATGATTTTCTCACTAATAATTCTGTTAGATACGATTAAGAATTTATTGTTTATCAATATTTTTCACAAGCATATTCAAATGATTTTTTCACTAATAATTCTGTTAGATACGATTAAGAATTTATTGTTTTTCAATATTTTTCAGAAGCTCATTCAAATGATTTTTTCATAATATGCTTATGACATGTCAAGGTTCATTATCTGTTAATTTTTTTTACATCCGACCAATAGAATTATGCAAAACATGCTGTTCAAAAGTTGATACGAATCATGAAAATGACGTTGGGGGTTAGCTAATATTTTTTATGAAAAAATTAAAGATATTACCATCATTAAAACCAAGGTATACAAAAGAGGACATTAAATCTACAATATGTAAAAATATGGACATTTTTGGCGACATTGATAACGTTGAAATATGCAGGTGAATTTGGTTCTCCAAACCGAAAATTGTCTTTGGTTCTCCAAACTGAAAATTGTCCTTCAAGTATAAATATGCACTGAAAAATGTACTGAATTTTAAGGACATACTAAGTACAAAAATATACTGTACAAAAATCCATCTTACAAAAATGTACTAAAAGTGTTCGCTTTTACAAGTTTACATTTATGTGCTGTTTTCAGAGTGTAAGCAAACTGTGCAAGGGTTGGGCTATGTTGGAAGCGTGGTAGAGACCAGATCGGGGAAACACTGCCAGAGATGGGATAGTCAGATACCCCATCCACATAGCAAGTAAGTAAAGACTCTACTTTTCATAACATACCAAAATAATGCACCTTAATTCTATTTTATGTTTTGTAAATAAAATATTCCCGACGTTTTAACATCCAGTCACAGACCTTCGCAGTGAAGAGACAAATTCTGTTACAAAAGGCCTGAAAACAAATTGATACATAATAACATTATGTTTGTATGACCAGTATTTCAAAGCCATTAGAATACCAAAAGAAATTCCAGAGAAAGGTGGTTAAATTCAAAACTGCTGATTTTCCAGCATTTTGAGATCATCCGCTAATCATGTATGCCATGAATGTATCCTCTTACTGACCAATGAATGTATTTGCGATTTTAGCAACGACCCTGTGAATTTCCCAGATGCCACTCTTGACGATGCAGCCAATAAATGTCGCAACCCTGATGGCCAGCCAGATGGTCCTTGGTGTTACACAACTGACCCTGATCAAAGATGGGAATATTGTGATGTACCCCTATGTGGTAGGATAAGAATGTTGCTTAAATATACTTTTACTTCACCATTTGTTAATTAGCGAAATATCTTGAATTCATTTTGATTTAGAGAATACAAAAATAGACTAAAATGTGTTATGGGAGTTCAGTCAGTTCATCAATGAATGAATTCAATGGAGACGTCATGAATTAATTTATCAGTGACTGCTTTGGAGTAACAATCTCTCCACAAATGAGCAATAAGACCTCAATTAGGAATACCTCTATGGCATTATTTAACTCTATTTAAAATGCAGCTCTTATGTAAACATTGTGCTAAATTTTTTAACCATTTTATCTGTTATACTACTCGCATGAGTGTTATAATAGATTTAAAAATTTCTCATTTATATATTAGTACTATATATTACAAGTGACATAGGAAATATATTCATATTTAAGATTTTAGTTACATGTATATTTTTATTTACTTATAGGAGGAGCCACTAGACCCCCTCCCACGACTTCACCCCCACCATCAACACTGCCACCGCGTGAGTCTATTAATAATGAATATCATTCTTGCATCAATTTCCTGTGTCCCCCTCCCATTCTCTCCCTAACACAGAAAGTGTGAAATATACAGGGAGTTGTAATCAGAGACACGAAATAAGACTTAAAGGAATATTCCTTGCCAAACCATCTCTCTCCTCATATGGTAGCTATAACCATATATATACTTGCCATGTTTAGCAAAACACGCAAAAATGTCTTGATATGGTCAAATTTGATAACTTAGAAATGTGATGCTCAATTCCAGTAAGCTGCCATCTTTTAAAATTTCACACAGGAAGTGATGTCATTGACTCTCAACTTTGCATATAGCATTAGGTGAGGAGCTATTAAGAATTACAAAACCAGCTAAATATTCTTTTTCAACTTTGTATCTTATTTAATTCTTCTGAAAATCTCTTCTTTTATTTTAAGTTGACAATCCCTGAAAATATTTTTGCACAGAAAGTAATGATCACTTGTCTAGAAGTGATTTTGTGCTACTTTCCTATACTGTTATGGGCAAGGTTATAGAAGTTGAGAGTTGATGACATCACTTCCTGCAAGAAATCTTAAAAGATGGCAGCTCACTGGAAATAAGCACTAGATTTTTAAATGATCAATATTGACCATATTAAAACATTTTCCCATGTTTTGCTAAATATGGAAACTATATATATGATTATAGCTACCATATCAAGAGAGAAAGGGTCTGGCAAGGAATATTCCTTTAATTAACATTCTTTGTATGATCTTTTCTACAATTTTACGTAACTTGTGCATAGCTACACTTTATAAGTTGCCCAATAACATAGAACAATCTATGTACAGATTTTTTATAACCGAATGTTTCAAGATTTATTTTAAACCATACATGATATAAAATCCAGCATGCAGCCCTTACAGTATGCACAAGTTCAGCCTCAGATGCAATTACCTGTATGAATATAGATGGCAAAGATGTAGACATTACTGCAACCATTACTCCATTCCTTAAAAGACCAGTCTCATCAGTCTCCTGCATGTTACGCCTGCTTTGGACAATTTTGATATTTTTACACATAGTCAATTTTAATGTCCTCTTTTGAGTATTCATAATTATGTCACCACCAAAAGTGGTGACATATTGTTATGGTCTCCGTTTTTTTGCGACGGCGTCCGGCGGTTGGAGGTTGGAGGTTGGCGTCCGGCGGTTGGCGTCTGTAACAATTTCTTACAACTTCCTATAACTTAACAAATACTGTTTAGACTGACTTCAATTTTTTTCTAAATCATCTACATGTTCTCAGAAGTTCAAATCTGACTTTAGATTTGACATTTGACCTTCAATGACCTTCTCAAGGTCAAAAAGGTCTTTTTTCAACTTGCTTCACATTGACTAATTTTTTTTTCAAAATCATCTACATGTTCTCAGAAATTCAAATCTGACTTTAGATTTGACATTTGACCTTCAAATCTGACTTTAGATTTGACATTTGACCTTCAATGACCTTCTCAAGGTCAAAAAAGGTCAAAAAGGTCTGTTTTCAACTTGCTTCAAATTGACTAAATTTTTTTTTCAAAATCATCTACATGTTCTCAGAAATTCAAATCTGACTTAAGATTTGACATTTGACCTTCAATGACCTTCTCAAGGTCAAAAAAGGTCAAAAAGGTCTGTTTTCAACTTGCTTCAAATTGACTAAAAAATTTTTTCAAAATCATCTACGTGTTCTCAGAAATTCAAATCTGACTTTAGATTTGACTTAAGATTTGACATTTGACCTTCAATGACCTTCTCAAAGTCAAAAAAGGTCAAAAAGGTCTTTTTTCAACTTGCTTCAAATTGACTAAATTTTTTTTTCGAAATCATCTACATGTTCTCAGAAATTCAAATCTGACTTTAGATTTGACATTTGACCTTCAATGACCTTCTCAATGTCAAAAAAGGTCAAAAAGGTATTTTTTCATCTTGCTTCAAATTGACTAAATTTTTTTTTCAAAATCATCTACATGTTCTCAGAAATTCAAATATGACTTTAGATTTGACTTTGGATTTGACATTTGACCTTCAATGACCTTCTCAAGGTCAAAAAAGGTCAAAAAGGTCTTTTTTCAACTTGCTTCAAATTGACTAATTTTTTTTTCAAAATCATCTACATGTTCTCAGAAATTCAAATCTGCCTTTTCGATTTGACATTTGACCTTTAATGACCTTCTCAAGGTCAAAAAAGGTCAAAAAGGTCTGTTTTCAACTTGCTTCAAATTGACTAAATTTTTTTTTCAAAATCATCTACATGTTCTCAGAAATTCAAATATGACTTTAGATTTGACTTTAGATTTGACATTTGACCTTCAATGACGTTCTGAAGGTCAAAAAAGGTCAAAAAGGTCTTTTTTCAACTTGCTTCAAATTGACTAATTTTTTTTTTCAAAATCATCTACATTTTCTCAGAAATTCAAATCTGACTTTAGATTTGACCTTTGACCTTCAATGACCTTCTCAAGGTCAAAAAGGTCATTTTTCAACTTGCTTCAAATTGACTAATTTTTTTTCAAAATCATCTACATGTTCTCAGAAGTTCAAATCTGACTTGAGATTTGACATTTGACCTTCAATGACCTTTTCAAGGTCAAAAAGGTCTTTTTTCAACTTGCTTCAAATTTACTTAATTTTTTTTCAAAATCATCTACATGTTCTCAGAAGATCAAATCTGACTTTACATTTGACCTTCAATGACCTTCTCAATGTCAAAAAAAGTCAAAGAGGTATTTTTTCAACTTGCTTCAAATTGACGAATTTTTTTTTCAAAATCATCTACATGTTCTAAGAAGTTCAAATCTGACTTAAGATTTGTGTGCAACTAGTTTTAACTTGCTTCAGATTGAACAATTTCTTTTTTCAAAATCATCTACAAGATCCCAGAAGCTCAAATCTTCAAAAACATTCTTAAGGTCAAAAGGTATTTTCCAACTTGCTTTAAATTGACCAAATTGTTTTAGGTGGTGACATTTTGTCATGTTAATGCCTTGTTTAATTTGGTTGTTATTTCTATATTTTTCATAAAAAAATTATTAGCCCAAGAGACTGTTCTCCAAACCGAGACTTGTCCTTCAGATCAATCTAATTTACTTAAAAAATTATGGAAATGTTTCCAGGAACATGTCCATCCTCTATAGGACGTGAACCCACTGATCTACCTCGACGTGGAGGAAACTGGGCACACTTGATGACTGAGAACTACTTTCCCTGTGATGGGGAAGTGTTTGCCTTTGACTATTTCCGATCTTTCCCCAGCACTATGGCATATATTTCCATATGGAGAGTTGCTCCAGGTATATTGATCTTAATTGTTGGTTTGTTGGAGATAAACCTATGTATTTTAGATCATCACTTTAGATCATGGTTTTGGGATATATGGGGTTTGTTTTTTCTTGCTAGGTTCCATTCCAACTTTTGGTTCTTTTACTGAAATTGAATTAGAGCTTAACTATGAGTAAATTAAAGGTAAACTGAATGTAAGTTTGGGGGGCAATTAAAGGTAAACTAGGGGTAAATTAAAGTAAACTTTATACACCTCATCTTTGAATTTCAGGTAATGCCAAGTACACCCTCGTAAAGAAGATAGCACTTGAGTTTGCTGTTCCTGGTCGCCATTATGTCCCAGTTTCGCCCCCAGTTCCTATCAAACGCTATGATTTCATAGGAGTCCATTACAGCAAGGCCTCACCACAGCCTGCCATACCCAACTCCAGGGGCAATGATGGTACAGTGGAAGCATCTGAGTTGTATAGGTACAGTATAGCCTTACCCTTTCTAGTACCTCATTTGGGTCAGATAACATGGCAGATATCAGGGGTGGATCTGGGAACCAACAGGGGGGGGGGCTCAAAATTCAGGTCTGAGAAAAAACGTCCGGGCCCCAGTCCATTTGAAATTTTGAGGCCCATTTTCTTCAAAATTTGGCCTAAAATTAAAAAATAAAAAATAAAAAGGCCAAGTAATGACTTAAAAGGCCCACTTCTTTGGGGCCTCTTGGTCCCCCACAGATCCGCCAGTGGATATAGTAGAAAGTTCCCTTAATGTTGAATATTCATCAGTTCAAGTGGATCAACTTTCCTATGACCCTTTTGTGTCTGATAATTATACAAATGAATAAATGTCCACTTAAAGAAAATATTATCTGTCCAACACAAGAAAACAATTTCACTTTTTGCGATCTTTAAGAATATAATAACATGGGGTCTATGAGGAATCTACTCGATCTAGAAGTCAAACAAAATTAAATTTTCAAAGTTGATAAATAACTTTTTAAACCACATTTCTAGATGTGATTTTACACGAGGATTTTAAATATAATATCACTGTGACTAAATTTTGAATATTTAATGACACCTTCTACTTGCACCTACATGTAGTCTATTATTGATTTATGTCTCTCGGTTGATTTGATTAATACTCCAGGGGTATATTTTGCCCATGTAATGTCTCATATATGAAGAGATAAATCCTTGGTATTAATGAATACCTCTTACAAATGATCCTTGGCTCATGATACTCATACAATTTCTTCAAACATATATGCATGCATTTCTTTAGTTAAAGGTGCAACAATTAGTGCAGGGGGGCCATTCAGCGATCGTCGATCAGTGTCAAAATATATTTAAGTTTGCCCCTTTAATATTCCTTGAATCTATTACTTTATTAAAGAAAAGAATTGCTTTGGTTGGATCATTGAAAAGACATAATAGTACAAGAGAAAAGTAGAACTAGAACATTAATTAATCTGTTTCAACATTTACGTTGGGTTGCTGCAACTTACTGGTTAGCTAAATCAATAAAATGACTAAAAGCTGGTCAATGGTCATTTGTGCATTATGGTACATACAGCCGTACCTATATGATCTGTCACAGGATGTGTATCTTATCACTAGGGATTTATTTCTACATGTTTTATGACAGTACAATGGGAAACAATACCCCTGGGCAGATTAATTGAATTATTACGTTACACTAAATGAATCTTAATGCCCATAAGACAGATTTACTTTTCAAGATCAAATTAGTTGGTGTGATGATATAGTATTGTTTTTGTTTTTGAGACACTTTTTTATTATGATCTTATGTGATCTTTTTTTCTTTTTTTATTCAGCTGTAATATTACATACATTTAATACAATACACTATTCATATATATATATATATTATACATATATAGTTTAATTTTAGACTGCAAAGTAAAATTGAGGTTCTATTTGGAATACAGGGTGTCAAATAAGTCCCCCTCCTTTACAGTTAAATCATAATTAAAGGGGCAACAAGGCCCGTAGAGAGAAAATTTGAAATGTTTTACTTTTTCTGAGCTATCAGGGCAACATTTAGCTTAACATCTTCTTTGACATACCTATTTTCTTAAAATGTATGGACAAACTATCAATTTCTGCATTAAGAAGTGTAAATTCAGTTCAAAGCTTCTATAAAGGAAGTTCCACTTATAGATTTTTAAGATCCACCACGTTTCAAGGTGAATATCAGCTGAATAATTTCCATCCAGGGGGTGTCTTTGGAGATAATAAAAATATGTCTTGATGAAATTATCCAAACTTAAATATATTTTGACACTGGTCCATGATCATTAAAGGTGCACTAATTGTTGCACCTTTAATGGTACCTCGTGTGATATACCATTGGAAAGGTCATCTGAAGTTACATTAACCCACCCTCTCGAAATGTCATATTGGACCTCAATATAAAACCCATATTCAATCCCTCCCAGTAAATAACCTGTAGTTATCTCTATTTTACAGTACAATCAATGCTGCAATGTTCAATGAAGACCTCAATGAAGGTGTTACGTATGATATGGCAAGATGGTCAGTCATCGAGAGTACATATGCCTTGAAAGTTCTAACTCATGGTAAGAATTTTAGAATTTTGTGATAGAGCTTTTCATATAGTTGTAAATTATATATGCACAAATCAGAGGTCGAATTTAGACCCCACTCATGTGAGAAGGGGTCAGATTTTTGACAAAATAGAAATTGGGCGGTCAAATTTGGAATTCCCTCCCCTAGTATTAGTTAACTTTCCACCCTGAAACCAATAATAGCTGGTCAGATATAGTCAAAATTCCAATTACTGAGAATATGCATTTAAAAAGTTCCTACTCCTGGGAGGAGATTCCTACCCCCTGGGACAAAACTACATTTGTACATGTTGAATTCTGACCCTTCCGCATTGGGGAGTCTCATGCAAACCTTTGATTTGATTGGTGCAATAAAGGCAATCAAAGCCAAAATGTTTGTTGTACAGTCAGGCCCGTAGCCAGGATTTGCCAAGGGGGGGTCAGTTTTCAGAAATTTCCAGATTTTCAAAATTTTCCCATTTGACAATTTTGGCCCAAATATGGCTAAAATCACTTGAAAAGTGCCCAAAATTGTGAAAAATGCATGATTTTGAAAGAATTTTTGGCCAGGGGGGGTTCACCCGAACCCTGCGAACCCCCCCTGGCTACGGGCCTGACAGTTATAGTAAATGTATACCGTAAAATGTAAAAGAAGGCACATTAATGTAACAGATGTGTGGAAATTCACTAATTGGAAGTACTCTGAGTGGTGGGTGGCATAAGGTGGGCCTCATTTTAAAAAATGGCCTCCTTTTTGTCAAAATTGGCCTTTTTTCTGAAAAGATGGGCTTCATTTTTTGAAAGAATGGGCCAGCAGTTTAAAATAGACCCAAGTAAATAAATCAACCTCATAATTAAAAAAAGATTCTTTGGATAAAAATGAAATGTGTATGTGTATGTTTACAGAATTTGTAACAAATCAAGTGTAAATCATTTATATAGCTGTTCTATAGGGGGGTTAATATCTTTTATATCGCACGATCATATTATATTTTATCACCACTACATAAAAATCCATTTCACTCAGCCCTAAATGTTTCAAGTTCTATGTCCAATTAGTCAGAGCATCAATAGGGAGTCATGAAACACATGATCCCTCACATTTGAGTACAAGGTACCTTGCGAGAATAATGACCAGGTTATCATTGTCATCATCGGTCTCTTTGATTATACTTTACATATACTGACGCTTGAAAGTGATACATAAAAGAGCAGAACAAGGGATGAATTGATCGCTGTCGACAAGTTGGCGACTTGATTAATTATTGGTTTATTTTACAACTTTTTTGATGTTCCGTTTTTTGTTTACTTAATACAATCCTTGTTCTTTGTTTTGATGAGTTATTGCAACTGAGTAAATATAAACTATGTCGTAATCAGAGTGACTCTCTTCTCAGCTAAAATGGGTCCCTGTATTAATTGGAGATTTTTATTGGAAGAAAGGGAGATACACCCATCGCAATAACCACACCCCTTTGTCTTGAAATTTTGCAAACAACAGATAAGAGTAGAGGTGGGTCTGGTAAATCAAATTGAGATATAACAAGTATAGAACAAGGCATAGACATGACAAAATGTCACCACCTAGTTGCACGCAATATTATTTGTCCAATCTGATGTCAGATTTGAATTTCTGAGTACTTGCAGATGATTTTGAAAAAAAATTGGTCAATTTGAAGCAAGTTGAAAAAAGACCTTTTTTACCTTTTTATTTTGACCTTGAAAAGGTCACTGAAGGTCAAATCTTAAAGATAAATTCAGATTTGAACTTGTAGATGACTTGAAAAAACTGAAGTCAGTCTAAACAGTATTTGCTTAGTTGTTTGAAGTTTTTAGAATTTGTTACAGACACCCATCTCCAACCACAAACCGCCACCTGCCGATCGCCGTCACAAAATCTGGAGACCATAACAATATGTCACCACTTTTTGGTGGTGACATAATGAGTAAAAGCCATGAAAACGTGATACATTTGACCAGGGTGGCTAATGTTTGTACACTGATTATAAAATGATTCCTATAATCCCGGGCGATGACATAACAAAATGGAGAAAATCCTATTCTTGTAATATAACATAGGCTAAAGAGATATACCTTAAAGGTTTAATTTGATACAAATGAGTAATTTAAAATATACACTATAATGGATTGGAATATTACAATTGAATTATCATATACCACAAGGGCTTGAATATGATACGATAAAATTGAATGATTAGTTACCATAATGGAAGAATTTCTAAACCAAAGAGTGTCTTTGAATTACACTCAAAAAGGTTTAATTATTTACCAATAGAACACCAATTATCACATACAGCCCTTTTACGTCAACAGACCATATATCATATTCCTTAAGCTATTTACAATCCCAATTTTGTGCTCAAATTATTCTTTCTTTTTTTCACTCAATTTCATGCACTCACTTTTACTTTCGTGGCTTATAATGCCATTTTGCAAAGTAGCAACATGTATATTCTATATCTATATTTTTCTATGGAAATAAATATTATTGATAAAAAAAGCTTTACAGGTAGCATGTATATTGTATTATTTTGTTGATTACAGGTGTATGGAAGCCTTACCCCTCGACTACACCTGCCCCTACTCTTCCACCTGATCCCCATACAGGTAAATATACATTTCAATAGTAACTTCCCTCTTTGCCCAGGAACATGGATGCAGTATGGTGCGTCAATCCAGCAATCATTCATTAGGATAGTCCTGCTTCAAGAACCCACCCCCCAACAATTGTTGAAGTAGTTGGGGGGGGCTAGGATTGTTGAAGTTGTTAAGGGAGGGGGTCCAGGATCTTGAAGCAAGACTATTATTAAGATACCCAGATGTACAACAATTTTCATTTTGATCAATGCTTGACAGATATGGTTTATATTTAAAGTGCATACAGTACGTGTCATATAATGTGAATTAAATACACTTGTGCCTGGTTATTTCTGTCATGTAATATTCTAAATGAGGAATGATTTAAAACACACTTTTGATGTTTGCAAATTGTTAATCAGTGAAGGTGCCATTTTTATAGTGTTTATACTATACTATTTACTATTGGTTAGTTGATGGTATCGATAATCTTTTTAATTAGTAAATGGACTACATACGTAGGATGAAAGTAAAAGTTTCAATCTCTTCTCTTTTAATTGATAATTAATGTTTCATAACTAAAGCATATTAATTTCTCTAAAGAGCCTCCTAATAATTGTTAGGAGCTTCATTAGTCTGAAATCTCTATAATGAGGTTCAGTTTAAGTATAATGTCTCATTTTTGTTTTGATGTTGTGAAAGGCGTGACAGAGCAAACATAACACTGGCCGCCTTGCTAATGAAAAACATGAATTTTAAACTGATTAATTTACATCCGTCTCAGTTAACAAAAAGGCGTCCAGAATCCATCAACATTAATATTTCTATATAGAGACTGAAAACAATGAATCATCTAGTGACTTGTACCTATATGTCATGTCCTAGATAATTCAATTTCAAACTTTTTGATATTCATCATTTTTCTTTATCTGTGAAAGGGGATTTAGCAATTGAAGATAATGCCAAAAGTACATTTTAAAGAGCTAGGTTTTTTATGGAACCAATGGGCTAAAATATTGAAAATGTTTTATTTTTATTTTTAATTATTAACTTTTAAATTACATATCAGTATGAGAATAAAAATTCTTTTAAAATCATGCAGTTTTTCACGATTCTGATCACTTTTTAAGTGATTTGGGCCATTTTGGAACAAAATTGTCAAAAGTGAACCCCCATTTGGAATTTTTCAAAACGTGAACACCCTTGGCAAATCCTGGCTACAGGCCTGAAAAACATTTGAATAGAATGATATTTGTCGAAGAAACTTTCATTCGTGAGTCGGAAGATCAATTTTAATTTCCAACTTTATTTTCAGAGTGCAAAGTCACACTTCTAGGCAATGAATATGTAGGTAAGAAGACTAGAACAGCCAGTGGGAAGCAGTGCATGAGATGGGACAGCCAAATACCACACAAGCATACACCCTTAGAGGATGACCAGTTTCCTGGTGAGGGAACAATGATTTTCTTTTAATTTGGTGAAACTCTGTGAAGGATAAAGATAATTAAATTACTCCCTATTTTACACCATAACTGTATTTTCGCCTACTTCTCTCTTTTTCCCATTTATCTTTTAAACTAACTACTCCATTTTCCCTCTATTTCACCCATTCGTCAATGGGAGTCGGGGGATTAAAGAAAAGAAAATGGAGAGGGCTTATCGCATGTATGGCTGTCTAATCATCATCGTAACTCTGATCATGTTTTCCATTTAGATAATAGTGTGAAAGATGCATCGAACTACTGCCGTAACCCGGACAATGAACCCCAGGGACCATGGTGTTTCACAACGGACGTTAACTCACGCTGGGAGTACTGTGGTATCCCTTACTGTGGTAAGTGATTTTTGTAACTCACAGCAGTAGTCAATTTAGTTTTGTTTACTTCATTCTGACATGTACCTAAAGTTAATACCATTTTGTAATAAATAAATAGAGATTTTTAGCTCACATATGGAATCACCCACTCCTCTTCCTGTCCACAATCATTTTTGAACAAATGAAAACTGCCTTTTGTTTTAACTGTATCCATTTTATGGGGTTCTAGACCAGTAATATATACCATTCATCATATTTTTTTGTCTTTGTTCGGCATTTTCATCATCTGAGTCCACTGAATCATTCCATCTTTAATGGGAGGAAAGGAATGGGGATTATACTTCAAGGGATGTTTTATATTGACCGAAGAAAATAAATTAACCAATGGTGTTATTGGCCTGAGTGTTAATTTGCTATTTCCATGAATGTTTTATTATTACGGCATATTATGTTTTTATTACCATATCTTGTTTTCTTAATTTCGAAAAATGATAATAAATACACTAAATGATCAATGAAATTTAATAGTCCGTAATAATCTTTTCCAGGACTTCGAAATCATGGAACAATGAATCAGATTTGTGTCGTGTTCTTCTCGTCTATCCGTAAATGGAGATTTTTATCAATTAACCTTTTGAATCCCAGGCTCTAAAATTGGTTTGAAACCAGAATTTTCATTTTTCCTGCTTTTGACATTTGACTAGCTACATACATATACAACGGATGATGCTCAACTTTGTGTTATTATTCAACAGAGATCATTGCTACACATTTTAGAATGTATTTTGTGTAAATTGGATAAAAAAATTACAAATTAGAGCAATTTTAGAGTCAAGGGGTTAAACAAGATATATAGTGTATGGCATTGTAATTTCAATTTAATATACTTTTTGCAGCCATTTCCTAATGAACAATCCTCACTTCTTCTCATTTTAATAGGTGCCTGTAATATTCTTTCTGGTAGTTCCCTTTAGACATTAGTTTGTCACATATGTTATTTTAATCTTGTATTTCACTTCTCTTGTTTAAATCAATTTTCCATTTGAACATCCTGTGTTAAAATTATTTTCTATTATTTTCTTTAAAAAGCCATGCCCACTCACTTGACCTTGTGTGTTGGCTTTCTTGTTATTTTTTGTTATTTTATTCTTTATTCAAGCCCACTTGAGTTTTGGTGTCGGCTTACATGCTATGATATGCAGGTTTCGAGTTAAGTAACTCTAGATGGCTCCATTTACATTGGATTGATCACTTCTCGAATATACATGTAGCTTTAACTTCTTCATTACATGTATATATGAGCAATTCTAATATGATATGTGACGTCACAATAACCAGAACAATTGATTTACTTCTAAATGCAAATAGTTGTGTTTCTTGTCTGTTTATCATATTAGAATTGTAACAAAGACCTCGATTTTATGATATTTGTCAAATATATGACCTCAAATTTTATTCTGGCCATTGCCAAAGACCTCAATCGCTACACGATTTGGGTCTTTTAACAATGAACAGAATAAAATTTTGGTCATATATTACGCCATCAATCATAAAATCCCGGTCTTTATTCCTTAAATAAACAATCAAAAAATAATTTATTAAACTCATTGGTCCCCCTCCATCAAATCTGAAATGAAAATCTAACAAATCCGACCATTTTGTCCTGTTTTTATAGTTCCTTAGACATCAGTTGGTGTAATTGGGTGACAGATTGATATACAATTATACAGTTATGGTGACATATTTTTCTGGTCTTCATTTTTTGTGACAGCGGTTGGCGATCGGTGGTTGGCATCTGTAACAAATGGTGGTGACATTTTGCATGTTCAGGGGTTTCATTAGCAGCAGGCAACTAGCAATTTTCACTGGTTGTTTTTAGGGACTTTTCAACTTTTCCATCTGATTTCCATTCATTTTGCCTGTTGTTTTCATAGCCTAATGTGAAAAATTCTCATGAAACCCCTGATGTTAATGCCTTGTTGTATCAATTTGATCCAATGATTAAATCAACAAATCACACCTTTTATTTATTTTTTATTTTAATATATTTTTTCATTTGTTCGTGTAAATAAATAATTAATATTTTACAATTTTAAAAGTGCTATTCGAAATACATGAGCAGTGGATGCAATATTAATACATCTTAAAGGAACTCAGATTAGACAGATCCTTTGTAATATTCACATTGTAATTATTTTTATACAATTTTATGTATCATAAATGTTCATTTCTCTGATTTAAATGTTGACTATCATAATAATCAAGTGAAATTGTTTCAGAAAATATTTAAAAAAATCTTTTTTAATGAATTATTGTATTAAAGTGAAAGTCAAGCATGTGTTCATCAATATTTTTTAAATATTATCTTATAAAATAAAAATGTAGGCCAAGAGAACAGTTGAAATGTAACACATAATTCATGAATCATCATTCATGAAATGAATGAGTTCTAGTGCTCAATTTATCATCTTAGATTTCAGATTGTCCTTAATATACACTGTTGTCCCATTGGTTTATATTTTGTATTCACTACAAGTAATTGTATCCCATGATTCATACATGTACCAATGATTGTGATTGGTCAATTTGGAATAATTGGAATCAAGGTCCATCCATGGGTACTGATCTCTTCTTGGCTGTCAGGCATCTTAAGTATGTGTCCTCCATGTGCATACAGTTATAAAGGGTAGCCCCACCCCAGCTTTGATAACAGTCATCACACACCATGAACCTTTCCATCTGTCTTTTGGATACCCTGAAATCACAATAACAAATCAAGTTAGTTATACCCTGGCCTGATGTGCTCTATTGTACCCCCTTGTCCCTCTGTCTGGGAGAAGCTATTTTACAAATTTAAGTTCAACCAATCAGTGAATATAGCACAACTCTGCAACTATAGTAAAAAACATGTGTAGAGTGAACACCAATGGAACCACACGTGTACACTATAGGTTTAAATATTTCAAGAGTTATTGTTGATGAAAAATGAAATGAAATGAAATAATCGAAGTAAACACAAATCATGCAGTTTGTAAAATACTAAGGTAAATATCATCAACTAGTTGTTGATCTCTACCATAAAAAATACATGCTCTCAGTAAACATTTGATTTTTGTCAACAGAGGAAAACTTTTCAATAGTTTAATTTCGCTTTTTTAAAAGAGAGTTTCATAATATACTCTTATAATTACAAATATGTCTCTCGGGGCAAGTACACACTCAGAAAATGACAACTGTTTAGCGTCAAGTAAAGAATGAAAACACGCATCGGAAAACACTTCAAATTACTGGTCAAGATTTATTATTGACAGAAGCCTCATTTGTGATGCGTAAGGATGTTAAGAGTGCGGAGATCTAAACTACACAATAAGTTATTTAACAATCTGGATTAAATCTTGCCTTGACAGTTAAACTGTTGGGAATATTCAAATTCACCGGAAAATTGAGCCGTTCTTTCATGCTTCTCATACTAATTACTACCTCAATGAGCAGTTCACATCTTCAATTACAAATTTGAACAAAAAAATATGAATCTTGGAAAAATAGAAACAACAGTCATTTAAGTGTTGTTAAAACTTGAAGAATGTGGAAGAGTAATTTGAAAATCACTCAATTCAGATTCTAAAAAAAACTATGGAAATTTATTTGAGGAAGTCTGATATCTGAAGCTTGAGATAATTGATCATTAATTACATTGGACAAGATAGGAACCATGCCTTAATTTGATCAAAGCGAAATTGAAATGCTGTAGGTCAAAAGTAATTACGATTAGGATTAATTGATGGATTATCAGCTCGGTTTCCTCTCTGAAGTATACCAGGAAGGGACAGTTGATTAATTGTAGGATTGTTGATTATAAATTACCAAAATGAAGTGTTCAGTCAATATGAAATTGTTGATTATGTATATAAGAGGGTGATCAATTGATAAAGAACGTTCCTGTGAGTATACTTGATATCCTGGCCTCTCTTTGGTCAGGGAAATGGAGGACGGGTCTTGAATGATAATGAGCCTGTACTCTACTCCCGTGCACCCTTATATCACTATGATACGTTTCTTCTGAATGGATGGAAGTAAATACTACATACGGTTATTGACTTCTCATTCCAAGAGGTTGACTGTTAACCTCCCCCCTTATTTTTTTAAGAGAAAGTTTACCACTAATAAATTGCTAAATGGCATAGTGAGGTAAACTATGTTAGGACTTCTTGTTTGTTTGTTTTTGTTTCTATGATGAGGTATGACATCTACTAAAAAAGGTGCAACATCATGCATGTTAAAGTCAATTTTTGCTATAAATCCAACAGTGGAACTTCAAGAAATTGTACAATATCCCCCTCCACTCATTTTGTCCGTTTTTATGGCCATGCCTCGAATGTCCCTGAACAAAAAAGGATAATTCAAAACCCCATCAGGGTATTAAGGACTTATAATAAGTTTATGACAATTAGGCTTTGATATCAAATTGAGTACTTGATGTGAATGATAATATGATATTAACATACAATAATTAACAATAACATGTCAAGATTTATTTAAGGGACAAGCCCCAATGCTCTACCAATTACACCATATTCCTTTGGTAATATCTGAGTTGACATCATTTGGCGCCAGTAAATCTGTGGCCCCATGAGATTCCCGGTCATAAAACTTCCCATGAGCCCACTAAATAATGATGTCATTATGAGGAAATGGAGGTCTTTAAAACTTTGCCAGTTTCACTGTGTTTTGATTGTTTTTAGTGGATAAAATGTATTTGATAAGTACATTTTCCATTAAGGCCATTAAATTACTTCTGGAGTCACCAAGATCATATCATCATTTAACCTCTTGAATCCCAGTCTCTAAAATCGGTTGAAACCAGAGAATTTTTCATTTTTGCCACCTTTTGATATTTACCTACATTCATATACAACTTTAGATGCTCAACTTAGTAAAATCAGACGGCGGGGATCATTTCTACAAATTCTAAATCAAGTTTTGTTTAAATTGGATGAAAATTGTTCAAATAAGAGGTC